ACTCAGAACTGAGGCAGTTAAATTAAGACATTTATATAGTTTTGCCTGCATGCGGCTACTAACCATAGGCAAAATATTTCTTTAGAGTTAAGATTAGCTGCAAATAACATCCTAAACAACCAGGCTAACAGTAGCTAGCACTGACGCTAACACCATTCACCGTAGGCTTTAATTCAGTAAAAGCAAAGAACTGCATGATTAAATAGCAACAGGGGAAACACATTTAGAGTTTAACTCACCAGGTACAGATTCAGTGTTTTAGTTGATATTGCTGGAAGCTGTCTGACTCACAGTGGTTCGGATGCTCTGGATCGGAGTTAATTTCCATGGGATTTTTGTTGATAAAATGAAAAAGCAAGCAAACTCTCTTCTATGGATTTTTGAGATTTAAAGCTGCAGCCGTGTTAGTTTACGATCCTCCTTCGTCGGCATAAAGTGCTATGCCTTTACTACGTCTTGTTCCAGCCAAAATGTTTCTAAAGCATTTCTCAGTTTCCTTCAATTGTTGTGGCAGCTGACAAATACACAAGTTGAACTCGAACTCGTGATTGAACCCCTCAAGCCGCCAGTTAAAGCAAAAACGATCTGGATTTGTTGTCATCATAACTATCTGAATGAATGAATTTCTTGCACATCGGAAATACGGAACAGTCGGGAGGGCTGTGTGGGGGGCCAGCGTCTGTCATGGCAGCCTACATGCACGTTTCCAGAAACTTGTGGAAAAGCTGTACTTGTAGGGCTGTGTGAACCTAACAAACACCTCACATTTCCACATCATTTCCCATCATTTGTTAGTCAGGTTTGTTGTGATAGAACCTYCTGTTTTTATGTATGTACTTATCAACCACTTGTCAACCAGGAACTTTTAAACAAGTGTTATTTAAATTATTATTAATTTTTTGATGCCATTATTATATTGTAAACTGGCTTGAAAATAAAAAGAAATTGTTTGATAAGAACAGATAAAAAAAGATAAGATTCTTCAGATTAAAATACTTTTGTATTGTTTAATATTTAATTTTCACATTTCAGATGAAATCATTTTTTTAAATATAATCTTTTTCCAGAAGGTGAATAGGTTTTGTTTTTGCTCTTATTTAACATRTGCAATCTGCTGCATTTTTCTTCTTTATGGAAGTCATAGAAAATAACTTTAGAGTTTTCTTTGCATTCTTTTTTCATCTACATTTTGCTGCAATTCATTTACTTCTTTGATTAAAAGAAGTAGTTGCTTTTTGCTCCTTGCTGTCATTGCTTTTTTAGTAGCAGATTAAAGGAAATTACAATTTTCCTTATTTCATCCATAAGATTGCTCTTCCTGTGCGGCTGCTTTCTCACCATGTGATTATAAAAAGAAGAATGCTCTTTGAAACGTACCAATTTTACTTCCTCCTCTGCTGTATTTAGATCTGTTTTTCAAAGTGTGTTTGCATTTTGAAGTTAATTGTTGAATGGATAAGCATTAGCATTTTTTGTTTATTTTTCACAACTAAGAATAGCACAATTAAAAAGATGTTAGTAGAAGTGTTATCTAATTTAATGAAAGAGAAACAAATCATTGAAATATCTAATTTACAGACATATTCAAACCATTAAATTGGCACTCATTTAAAAGTTTGTTTGGTAATGATTACATCTTCAGAGGTTCTTTGAAAAATTGTGGGTTTTTATCGGAAGTTTTATAGCTTTTTTTTGACATGTTTTAAGGAAACCCAAACTGCCCTTTTAAAGTGCCTGTGATGCCCAGTTTTTGTAATACAAATGAATGCATTTTTAGAAAGAGGACATTGATAAAATATTGCTAAAGAAATTTCATGTCGCTGAGATGAACAGTTGTTGAGATATTTGCCTGTGATGTAACAGGAAGTGATGTCAAAGGGGAATGTCTTCACGTGAACAGAGCATTGCTACAACAGCCAAAAACCCAAACTGTAGAGAAGAATCTGATGTTTAAACCTATCAGAGAGAGATGAAGAAGAGTCAGAGTTCAAATAATATTGTTTCAATAAACAAAGACCAGAGAGTTTTCTTTGTTAAAGAGTTCCCCTTTGATGTCACTTCCTGTTTCACTTTAGCTGAGCTAAGTTCAAAAGAAAATATGCCAGTTATGGGACAAAATGGGTTAAATTGTGCATATTATTCCAACTTTCTTAACYATAAARATGTTTTCTTTGACTTTTTGTATTTGAAGAATATGCATGTCACAGGCACTTTAAGTTCCGTCAGCAGATGATCAGCTTGACCTTTTTATGACATCATGAAGGCTAAATAGTAAATAACTTTTCTTTAACAAATAGTAAAGGTCATTGGGAACTTGCAGCGTCTCATGTTCTGTAGTGAGCAGGAATGTTTAAATTCCAGAAATCTTGTGCTCAATACAAATTTTGTTCATAGATAGTAGGGATGCACAGTTAGCTCATCATGTTRTTAGAAATGGATTTTCAGTTTGATCTGTGTCACCAGTGACCAGCCAATCAAGCTCAAACAAAAACAGACTGTTTGTTTTCTGGTCAGTGAATGCCACCACAGGACATCCTCAAGATTCAACATGTTTTCTGTGTTTGTGTTTTTATAAGTTGTTGAAGTGTGCTATTTTTGGGTCTGTTGCACAACAACATTAAACTCTGGTTTGGATAATGTGCCCTGATCTTCAGAATATGTTCCTAAATACTGCACTTTTACCGGCTTCTCCATCTGTTTAATTTCTTGTTAACACAATTAAGTTATCAGTCAGTCACATGGCAACAATTCAGTTCATTTATACATCTAGACGTGATGAAGACGWCTTKCAGAAGTAGAAAYTGAGCATCAGAACGAGGGAGAAAARGGATTAAAATCCATTTGAACTGGTTTTCTCTTGTGTTATTTGTTGTGTTAGACAGGTGTTTTGAGGATTTTCACGCATGATGTTGCTGTAATGTAATTAAAATCATTTGAATGTATGTGAATGAATGAWTGGGAAGTTAGAMGTGATAATTTTCTAGTTTTTCAACAAAACAGTGTGGTGAGCTGATTCTAAAACAGCAGAAAAATATTTTTCATTTTGCTTTTGTTCACAAAGAAGCTAAACTGTTTATGTTTTGTTGACATGGTAATCCTATTCTGATAATCTAACTCTGRTGACAAGGAGTAAATTAGAAGTTAGTGAAACTTTGCTTTTTAAAAAACAAGAAAAGGGTTAAAGTTTTGGTCAGTGCTGTGTACCCTTTAATCTCCAAGGCAGGAGAAACGTTCAGAGAAAAAACTAATTACAACTACCATCTTTGCCAATTAAAAATTTCCACATTAACTTTATGTAACAGCCGACAATAYAGCAAATCTGAGTTAAAGTTAAAGAAGTTTCTTTGCACTGTGTATAGTTTGTTACTGACATCCTTTTTCCCAGACTGCTTTTAAACACTGACACAAAACACATCAAATATCAGTTGATATATTCTTGAGTCAGACTTTTCCTTTTTATTTGCTTTTTACTTGGTAATTATTGACTTTTTTTAATAGGTGGACCAGTACTTGCAAAAGCTGAAGCTGTCAGATGAGGCTTTGATGGATTTGTCGGTGAGATTCCGTCGAGAGATGGACAAAGGCTTATGTAGAGACACCAACCCCACAGCTACAGTCAAGATGCTGCCCACATTTGTGCGCTCCACTCCTGATGGAACTGGTAATGCTTTTTTCTCTGAAAATCTTTAAATTGCTTTACATAACCCAAGCTGAGTCCTTAAGTATTAACACTATAAGCTTCAAATCTCCAATTACAAACAAAGCACATTTAGTAATGTTTCTGCTGATGTGTTCTTCATATATGGCTCATAGACTTTAAATATTTAGGGTTGTAAAGATTTTTGGTATAGACTTCATATTTATGTAACCAACTTTTATTATGTATACTATATATGAGATATAGAATAGATTTAGTTCAACATAAACATTACAAAATATGTTTGTTTGCAAGTATGTTTCTTTAATTTCCTCAGATACAAGAAATAACAAAACAACAGTAGATTATATCTGCTATTAACAGCACTGTTTTTATATTGAAAACCACAATCAAGAATAACAATCAGCAGATATGGATTGCACATTTTCTTTCATTTTTGGGAAATAAATCAACCAATCAATCCTGAGAAAGATAAAATCTTTCCATAATATTGTACAAGAAAAGAAGCCTACTTAAATAATCCATCATTCATGTTTGATTTGATATGATGATGCCTTTATTGTCATTGTACGGAGCATAATGAAATTACATTTAAGAACACCCATTCGAGAAGACACACATGACAAAAACATGGGGGGGGGGGGTACGAATCTGTAATCAGTTGTTTGGGAACCAGTGGTGGGCCATGCATTTTACACCTAGGCCTTCAGTTGGGAG